TTTTGAGATGGAGTTCTGGTCTTGTTGCCCAGGCTGGAATGCAATGGTGTAATCCCAGCTCACCACAACCTCCACCTCCAGGGTTCAAGCGATTCTCCTGCCTCAGCCTCCAGAATAGCTGGGATTACAGGCATATGCCACCATGCCCAGCTAATTTTGTATTTTTAGTAGAGATGGAATTTCTCCATGTTGGTCAGGCTGGTCTCAACTCCCAACCTCCCGCCTCAAACTCCCAAAGTGCTGGGATTACAGGTGTGAGCCACCACACCTGCCCCCCCCTTTTTTTTTTTTAATACCAATGTTACTTGCCAAAGTTCTTTGTATATTCTGGATACAAGTAATTTCTCAGATATGTGTGTTGCAAATATGTTTTTCCTAAGGCCTATCTCGTCATTATATTAATAAGTCCCAGAAAAAAAAAATGGAAGTCATGGAGAACTATATTAAGAGATATTGGATGTAAATTTTTCAGAGCTGATGAAAAACATCAATCCAGGGAATATAATTCATCCACGAAAGTTAAATAGAAAGAAATCCATACCTAGGCAAATTCTAGTAGAACTCTAAAATACTAAAGACAAACAGGATATCTTAAAATCAGCCGGAAAAAAAGGACAGGTTTCCAATAAATAACAGAATAACAGCAAATTTCTCAACACAGCAAAGGAAGCCACAAGACAAGGGAAGTATGTCTGTAAAGTACTGACAGAAAATAACCATCTAGAATTGTGTACTTATCAAAATTAACTTTCAAGAATGAGAGTGGATGGGCCAGGCACGATGAGTCATGCCCTTAATCCCAGCACTATGGGAGGCCGAGGCGGGCGAATCACAAGGTCAGGAGTTCAAGACCAGCCTGGCCAACATGGTGAAACCCCGTTTCTATTAAAAATACAAAAAATCAGCTGGGCATAGTGGCAAGCACCTGTAATCCCAGATAATCAGGAGGCTGAGGCAGGAGAATCACTTGAACCCAGAAGGCAGAGGTTGCAGTGGGCCAAGATCATGTCATTGCACTCCAGCCTGGGCGACAAGAGTGAGACTCCATCTCAAAAACAAACAAACAAACAAAAAGATGAGTGTGGAATAAATCTATTTGGAGAGGATAAAAAACTTTGTTTCATAGCAGGAAAGCTGCTCAAGGACCTTCTAAGGAAAGCGTTTCAAAAGAAGGAAAATTATCCTAGAAGACAGTTCAGGTTGTAAAAAGGAATGATGAACTAAAAACGTGGCAAACATAGTTAAATCCAAATAAATAAAGTTGGTTTAAAGCAATAACAATAATATTTATTTATGAATGGAGACAGGCTCTTGCTCTGTTTCACCCAGGCTGGAGCGCAGTAGCATGATCATGGCTCACTGCAACCACGACCTCTCAAACTCAAGCAATCCTCCCACCTCAGCCTCCTGAGCAGCCAGGACTACAGGTATGCGCCACCATGCCCAGCTAATTTTTAATATTTTACATTTTTTGTAGAGATAGGGATCTCATTATGTTGCCCATGCTGGCCTTGAACTCCTGAGCTCCAGTGATTCTCCTGCCTCGGCCTCCCAAAGTTTTGGGATTATAGGTGTGAGCCACAGCCGGGCACAGTGGCTCACGTCTGGGTAATCCCAGCACTTTGGAAGGCCAAGGCGGGTGGACCATCTGAGGTCAGGAGTTTGAGACCAGCCTGGCCAACATGCTGAAAACCCATCTCTACTAAAAGTACAAAAAATTAGCTGGGCTTGATGGCGGGCACCTGTAATCCCAGCTACTCGGGAAGCTGAGGCAGGAGAATCGGTTAAACGTGGGAGGCAGAGGTTGCAGTGAGCAGAGATTGCACCATTGCACTCCAGCCTGGGCAACAAGAGTAAAACTCCATCTCAAAAAAAAAAAAAAAATGATGTGAGCCACTGCACCTAGCCAATGTCTAATTTATTAATTAAAACAAAAGTGAAACTGCAAAATTTAGCTACAAGTCTATGTAGATCATGAGTGGTAAATAAAAACTGTCAACCGGAGGCTGGGCACGGTGGCTCACACCTATAATCTCAACATTTTGGAAGGCCGAGGCAGGTGGATCACTTGAGGTCAGGAGTTTGAGACCAGCCTGGCCAATGTGGCGAAACCCCGTCTCTACTAAAAATACAAAAATTTGCCAGGCATAATGGCAGGTGCCTGTAATCCCAGCTACTCTGGAGGCCAAAGCATAAGAATTGCCTGAACCCAGGAGGCAGAGGTTGCAGTGAGTTGAGATAGAGCCACTGTACTCTAGCCTGGGTGACAGAGTGAGACTTTGTCCTGAAAAAAAAAATTTTTTTTTCTAGAGATGGAAGTCACTATGTTGCCCAGGCTGGTCTTGAACTCCTGGTTTCAAGTGATCCTCTCACCTAAGCCTCCCGAAGCACTGGCATTGCAGGTATGAGGCACCATGCCCTGCCATGGGCCTGAGCATTTGAAAGCACTCACATGTTTCAGATAACATTTCTTTTCTCAAAGCCAAACTGTTTTTTAAAGGCCCTTTTGCCTCGGCCTCCCAATGTGCTGGGATTATAGGCGTGAGCCACTGTAAATCTCTGACAATAAAAAGAGAAAGTACAATACTCTAACGAATGAAAAGGGAAATGTAACAATAGATATAGCAGATTTTTTGTTGTTTTTGGGTGTGTGTGTGTGTGTGTGTGTGTGTGATGAAATCTCGCTGTCGCCCAGGCTGGAGTGCAGTGGTGCGATCTCGGCTCACTGCAACCTCCACCTCCCAGGTTCAAGTGATTCTCGTTCCTCAGCCTCCCAAGTATCTGGGATTACAGGTGCCTGCCACCTCACCTGGCTAACTTTTGTATTTTTGGTAGATATGAGCTTTCACCATGTTGGCCAGGTTGGTCTTGAACTCCTGACCTCAGGTGATCTGCCCTCCTTGACCTCTCAAAATGCTGGGCTTACAGGTGTGAACCACCAGGTCCAGCCAGAATTTTTTTTTTTGAGACTGAGTCTAACTCTGTCACCCAGGCTGGAGTGCAGTGTGCAATCTTCTCACTGCAACTTCCTCTTCCTGGCTTCAAGCGATACTCCTGCTTCAGCCTCCCAAGTAGCTGGAACTACAGGCATGCACCCTACACCCAGCTAATTTTTTTAAGAGATGGGGTTTCACCATGTGGGCCAGGCTGGTCTTGAACTCCTGACCTCATAATCCCCCGCCTTGGCCTCCCAAAGTGCTGGGATTACAGGTGTAAACCACTGCACCCGGTCCAGATTTTTTTTAATTTTTTTGAAACAAGATCTTACTCTGTCACCTAGGCTCGGAGTCGCACAATCACAGCTCACTGCAGCCTTGACCTCCTGGGCCCAAGTGATTTTCCCATTTCAGCCTCCTGAGTAGCTGGGGCCACAGGTGTGCACCATCACACCCAGCTAATTATTCTCAATTGTTTTTATAGAGCTGGATCCACTATGTTGCCCAGGCTCGTCTCCAACTCCTGGCCTCGAGTGATCCTCCCACCTTGGCCTCTCAAAGTGCTGCAATTACAGGTGTGAGCTGCCATGCCCAGCCGAAGATACTAAAAACATATGAGAACCGTCCTGAACACCAATAAATTTGAAAACCTAGTGCTATGCTGAAGCCTAAATTCCAAAGTGATGGTAATCAGAAGTGGAAGGCTATTAGGTCATGAGAGTGCGATTAGTGCCCTTATATTAATAGAAGAGACTTTTGCACCTTCTGCCTTGTGAAGACACAGTAAGAAGTCACCATATTGGCAAGCCACGGTGGCTCATGCCCGTAATCCCAGCACTTTGGGAGGCCGAGGTGGCGGTGGTGGGGGTGGGGGGGATCAGCTGAGGTCAGGAGTTCAAGACCAGCCTGGCCAACATGGCAAAACCCTAGCTCTACTAAAAAATACAAAAATCAGCTGAGCGTGGTGGTGGGTGCCTGTAATCCCAGCTACTCGGGAGGCTGAGGCAGAGAGAGTTGCTTGAACCCAGTAAGCAGAAGTTGCAGTGAGTGGAGATCATGCCACTACACTTCAGCCTGGGCAAAAAAAGAAGGCACCATATTTGAAGCAGAGAACAAGACCTCACCGGACACTGAACCTGCTGGCACCTTGACTTGGACTTCCCAGCCTCTGGAAAGCAAGCAATAAATTTGTTGTTTATTAACTACCTAATCTAAGGTATTTTGTTATAGCAGCTGGAATAGAAATATTCCATTGCAACAAGAAAAATGAAATAATCCTATAAATATTCATGTATATTAAAGAAATTGGCTGGGTGTGGTGGCTCACACCTATAACCATAGCACTTTGGGAGGCCAAGGCAGGAGGATCGCTTAAGTCTAGGAGATCAATCAAGATCAGTTTTTCTTTATTTTATTTTTATATACTTTAATGAAAAATTAAAAAAAAATTTTATATATGGAACACTTCACGAATTTGCATGTCATCCTTGCACAGGGGCCATGCTAATCTTCTCTGTAAAAGATCAGTCTTTCTGATCTTGATTAGAGAATCCTTATAGAAGACACACAAAAATTCATTTAACATTTATTAATTTTACTATATTAAAATTCAAAATTTCTGTTCATCAGAAGATATCCTCATACTACAATTTATCTAAGAAACCCTGGATATAAAATATATTTTTAAAAAAGAAAAAAGAAGTCGGGTGCAGTGGCTCAGGCCTGTAATCCCAGCACTTTGGGAGGCCGAGGCAGGTGGATCACCTGAGGTCATGAGTTCAAGAACAGCCTGGCCAAATGGTGAAACCCTGTCTCTATTAAAAATACAAAAAATAATTAGCCAGACATGGTGGCACATGCCTGTAATCCCAGTTACTCAGGAGGCTGAGGCAGGAGGATCACTTGAGCCCAGAGGTGGAGGTTGCAATGAGCTGAGATCTGCACTCCAGCCTGGGCCACAGAGTGAGACTCCATCAAGATGAAGATGAAGACAGAGGAGGAGGAAGAGGAGGAAGAGAAGGAGGAGAATGAAAAGAAGGAGAAGGAGATGAAGAAGGAGGAGAAGTAGACAAAGAAGGAGAAGGGTAAAAAGAAGGAGGAGAAGGAGAAGCCTGGGCCACAGAGTGAGACTCCATCTAAAACAAGAAGAAGAAAGAAGGAAGAAGAAGAAAGAAGGAGAAAAAGAAGGAGAATAAGGGGAAGAGTGTAAGGCCGGTTGCTTAGCCAGGAGCTCCGACATGCCCATCCCTCTCCACACCTGAAAACTATGTCACCACTCCGCGCTCAGCACCAAGCCCGCCATTGAAAAAACCCCGCCAAAATTTAAAAGAAGCCCCACCAAAACCTGTCTAATAGCATTTTGCCCCGTCCAGGTCCCACTCTCCCAGGGCAGCCAGCTCACCGGAAATCCCACCTACCCACCAATAGCAGCTTGCCCCGACCACGTCCTGTTCCCTCATAACCAATCAAGACACGCTCACTTGCTATAAAACCCCACACCTTGGGAAGCCGTGGGCGACTTCCCTGGCCCCTTTCCCCAGGACCATGAAACCTCGCCCGGGAGCTGAATAAATTGGCATTTATTTTCTTATGCTGGTCTCAGTTTCCTCATTCTAAACTCAGCAATAACCCTTACGAAGAGGAAGAAGGAGAGAAGAAGAAGAATAAATAGAAAAAAGTGGTTACCTGTCCAAGTGTGGTGGCTCACACCTGTAATCTCAGCTCTTTGAGAGGCCGAAGTGGAAGGATTGCTTGAGCCCAGAAGTCTGAAACCAGCCTTGGCAACATGGCAAGACCTCATCTCTACTATTTTCTTTTCATTAGTGGGATGTTGTGGTGCGTCCCTGTAGTCTCAGGCCTCAGTCTCCTCAGTCTACTCCAAAGACTGAGGTGTGATGGTCCCTTGAGCCCAGAAGTTCAGGGCTACAGTGAACTATGATTGAACTGTTGCCCCAGTCTGGGCAACAGAGCAAGATCCTTCTCAAAAAAAAAAAAAAAAAAAAAAAAGGTCAGGAACGGTGGCTCACGCCTGTAATCCCAGCACTTTGAGAGGCCAAGACAGGTGGATCACAAGGTCAGGAATTCAAGACCAGCCTGAAGGAGGTCTTCAACATGGTGAAACCCCGTCTCAACTAAAAAATACAAAAATTAGCGGGCATAGTTGGCACACACCTGCAATCCCAGCTACTCAGGAGGCTGAGGCAGGAGAATCACTTGAACACGGGAGGTGAAGGTTGCAGCGAGCTGAGATTGTGTCACTGCGCTCCAGCCTGGGCAACAGAGTGAGACTTCGGCTCAAAAAGAAAAAAAAAATTGGTTACCTATAAGGGGAGGGAGATAGCAGGTTGGAGAGGACAAGGATAGAAACAGACTTCTTTTAATCTTATATAGATTTGACTTTGGAACTATGTAATAATATTTCACATCATATGAGGAAAAATTTTATGCAGAAAAATAAAACTTTAAAAAGCAGTTTCTAAAAATGGAAAATAAAACTATGTAGCAACTTGCTGGCATAACTTTATGAAGATTAACTATTCAAAAAGATTTAAAACAGTTATCTGACTATCATCCGTACTGGGCTATAACCTAAGAACAAGAACTACAAAAACATATTTTCAGAAATCATATTATGTTGAGTCATACATTTTATGAGAAATAAAAAAAGAAAAAGAAAAAAAATTCTATTACGTAGATAGAGTTGGTATCATTATTCTGAAAGTGTTTTGTATACAGTGTGAGATAAAGCAAATGAGTAATGGGTGGGTGTCATTGAGAACTGAGGCTGGGTGCAGTGGCTCATACCTGTAATCCCGGCACTTTGGGAGGCTGAGGTGGGAGGACTGCTTGAGCCCAGAGCCCAGGAGTTCAAGACCAGCCTGGGCAACATAGCAAGAAACCATTTCTGAAAAAAAAAAAAAAAAAAAGAGAGAGAGAGAATTGAGATTTTTTAAATTGTGGTAAAATATATATAACACAAAATCTACCATGTTACCCATTTATAAGTGTGCTGCTGAAAGGCATTTGTGCATTCACACTGTGTGCAGCCACCAGTCACCTCTATCCAGCTCCAGAATCTTTTAATCATTCCCAACGTAAACTCTGTGCATCTGTTAAGCAATAACACCCTATTTCCCCTTCTCTCCAGCCTCTGGTAACCAGTTTTCTACTTCCTGTCTCTATGAATTTGACTATTATAGGTATCTCACATAAGTAGAATCATACAACATTTGCCCTTTTGTGTCTGGAGTATTTCACGTAGCATGTTGTCTTCAAGGCGCCTCATTGTAGCATGTATCAGAATTTCCTTCCTTGTGAAGGGTGAAGAATATTCCGTTACATGTACATACCACATTTTTGGTTTTTTTTTGTTGTTGTTGTTTTTGAGACAGAGTCTCACTCTGTCACCCAGGCTAGAGTACAGTGGCACGATCTCAGCTCACTGCAACCTCTGTCTCCCAGGTTCAAGTGATTCTCCTGCCTCAGCCTCCCAAGTAGCTGGGATTACAGGTGCGCACCACCACAGCCAGCTAATTTTGTATTTTTTTTTTCTAGTAAAGACAGGGTTTCGAGGGGTTTCACCATGTTGGCCAGGCTGGTCTTGAACTCCTGGCCTCAAGTGACCCGCCCGCCTCAGCCTCCCAAAGTGCTGGGATTACAGGTGTGAGCCACGGTGCCTGGCCCACATTTTGTTAGTCTATTTGCATTAGTGCAGGGTCTCCGGAACAAAGCCAAATACATATAGATATGAAAGAGGCTATTTATTATGGGAATTGGTTGACAAGGTTATGGAGGCTGAGAAGTCCCACAATTTGCCATCTGCAAGCTGGATGACCTAGTGGTGTAATTCAGTCCAAGTCCAAAGACCTGAGGACCAGGCAAGTCAATGGTGTAATGTCTCGGAGTGTGAAGGCCTCCAGGAGCTCTGATGTCTGAGAAGATGGATGTCACAGCTTCATAAAGGAGATAATTCACCTTTTCTACATGTTTTTGTTCTATTTGCACCCTCAGTGGATTCAATGATGACCACCTACATTGGATAGGGTGGATCTTTTTACTCAGTCTGATTCAAATACTAATCTCTTCCAGAAACACTCTCACAGACACACCCAGAAATAATAATCTAAGGCATTCCTTAGGCTGGTCAAGTTGACACATGAAGTTAACTATCACACTGGTCACACATCAATGCACATTTGGGTTGTTTCCACCTTTTGGCTACTGCAAATAATGCTGCTATGAACTCTGATGTACAGATATCAATTTAAGTTCCTGCTCTCAATAGTTTTGAGTACTATGAAGTTTCTGGATCCTATGTTAATTCTTGTTTAATTCTTTTGAGGAACCACCATGCTGTTTTCCATACCAACTGCACCATTTTTACATTCCTGCCAGCAATGCACAAGAGTGCCAGTTTCTCCACATCTTTGCCAGCATCTGTTACCTTGTTTTTCTGATAACAGCCATCCTAATGGGTGTGAAGTGGTATCTCTTTGTGGTTTCTATTTGCATTTTCCTGAAAGCTAATGATGCTGAGCACCTTCTCATGTGCTATTGGCCATTTGTATATCATCTCTAGAGAAATATCTTCAATTCTTTTGCCCATTTTTAAATTGTTCTTTTTTTGTTATTATTTATATGTTCTTTATATGTTCTGGGTATGAATCCTTACGAAATACATAATTTGCAAATATTTACTACCATTCCATGGGTTGATTTTTTTACTTCATTATATTGTATTTGGTGTACAAAAGCTTTTACATTTTATGTCTAATTTATCTATTTCTTTCTTTTGTGGCCTGTGCTTTTATGCTGTATCCAAGAAATAACTGCCAAATTCAATGTCATGAATATTATACCCTATGTTTTCTTCTGAGTTTCATAGTTTTAGGTCCTACATTTAGGTATTTGGTCCCTTTTTAGTTCTTTTTTTGGGGAGAGGGGTGAGACAGGGTCACAATGATGCTCCGGCTGGAATACAGTGGCATGACCATGGATCCCTGCCATGAATTTGAACTCCTGGGCTCATGTAATCCTCTGCCTTGGCCTCCTGAGTAGCTGGGACTACAGGCACGCACCACCATGCCCAGCTAATTCTTTTCTTTTTCCTATTTTTATTTTTTGCTTTTGTAGAGATAGGATCTCGCTATGCTGACCAGGCTGGTTTCAAGCTCCTGGGCTCAAGTGATCTTCCCGCCTTGGCTTCCCAAAGTGTGGGGATTACTGATGTGAGTCACTAGGTTCAGCCATTTGATCCATTTTGAGTTAACTTTTGTACATGGTGTTAGGTACGGGTCAACATCATTCTTTTGCATGTGGATACCCAGTTTTCCCAAAACCATTTGTTGAAAAAATTGTCCTTTCCTCGATTGAATGGTTTTGGCACTGTTGAAAATCATTCAGCCTTATATGGAAAATTTTTATTTTTATGGGCTCTCTATTCTGTACTGTGGGTTATATGTCTGTCTTTATGCAAGTATCACACTGTTTTGATTACTATAGCTTTGTAGCAAGTTTGAAATCAGGAAGTGTCACTCCTCCACCTTTGTTCCTCT